TTCCTAGTGGCTGAGTTCAGACGCATGTGTGATGTCATCTTGCCCCGGTGCCTAGTGTGTGCCCAGGTTGACCTCCACCTGGGTCTAGGTGACTTTGGTCTGAGCGTCCCCAGCTTTGGGTCATCCCCGTAGGTGTCTACCGTGTGCCCGATTTCTTTCCAACCCCTTAGTTGTGGCATGGCCAGCTCATTTTTGTTCAGCGTGGGCATGCGGTGGAGACAACCCCTCTATCCCTAATCTGCCTATCAGAAACCACCAGCCACATGGTCCAAAGAGGAAAAAAAAGGGATTTCGATTCCCATACAGAGGAAAATCTCGGAAACCCACTGGGGCAGTTCTAGCCGGTCCTATGGAGTTGCTCAGGGTCGGAGCAGATGCCCAAACCGGGAGTTGGGCATGCTTAACGCGAGTGCGCAGGCGCGGGAATGAACCGGGTGCCGCCCACGGAGGTGGGGCTTCTCTGCGGAAAGCGCGTGGCCCGTCACGTGAGGACTAAGGGCGGGCCTGTTACCCTGGCGACGGTTTCCCCGCTACGCGCCGCGGCCCACCGGGCTGTCACCCGAAGCCGGACCCAGGCCCCGAAGCCGTGGCCATGTCCACGCGCACGGGCCTGTCCATCCCCTCGGTGGGCGCATCCTTCGCGGTGCCCGACGTGGAGGCCGATGCTGAGAAGTCCGCGGAGGCCGAGAACACCTATATTTTGCGGCCCATTTTCCAGCAAAGGCGGGTAGTGGGCGAGACGTAGCGGGGACGACCTGCGGGAGCGCGGGGCGGGCGTCCCGGGCTGCGATCCCCGAGGCCCCCGAGGCGGGCGGGCGGGCGGTGGGGAAAGGGCCCTCGTCCAGCACCGGCCTCTCCGCGCTTGCACCCCTCCTGGCAGGGTTGGGGCGCTCCGAGCGCAGCGGAGGGTGAGCGGACCCCGAAGCCCTCGACGTGGGCCTAGGGCGAGGGACTGGGTGGACTGGAGAGACCTCGCCTGCTTTTCCAGCCGTGTCTCCAGCGTTAGCGTTTGCAGGGTGCAGACCTGCATGCCCGCAGCCCTGCACAGGCGCAGCGGTCTCGTGCAGAGCCCCCTCTGCTTGGGCTGTAGGACCCATCCGTAAGGACACTTTTCCACGACGAAAAGATGAAAATGAAAAAAAGAGACTTCCCCAAGCCGATCTGGTATTGGAGACCAGATTGCTTGCGGAATCTAACGATTGATAACCGGAAGCCAGCAACTTTGGTGATAGATCTCATGAGTGAACAATGGGTTTAGAAAAAGAAACGTTCCGTTATCTTGGTGAAAGAGTCAAATCTCATAGCATGCCATTGGTCACGTTTCGGTTGTGAGACAATGCAGAACAAGATGAACAAAAAAGATATTCCATACAGGAGAAATCCTCTGAGATCCTGGGTACCTTGTTTGAAGCAACTGATCATCTTTTATGGGAATAGGAAAAGCTTAGCAGAATGGTCAAATGTACTAGTTAATGTATAATTTAGATTACATGTGAGAATGATCTATTCCATGTGGCGATAGAGCAAAGAACATCCTGTTCAAAAGTAAAGAGAGGGAAGGTTTGAACTACCAACAGACTCTGAGCCTGGATGAGGGCATTTATGGAGAAATGCAAGATGAGGAAGACTACTTGTTTATGATCTTATGCTAAAAAAGTATTGCTACTCGGGTTGCAGTTCATTTGTGCTGGGTTATTCCAAACACAACGTGCTTAAACATCTCTCTATGGTTAGTCAGTGGCTGCAGACAAGTTCTCTCTCAGATACCCTCATCTTACTGTAATCATTGCTTTAAAAAAACAAACAAAAACAGACCCATTAGAAACAATCACTCCTAGGGGCTCTGCAGAGCCAGTTAAATTTAAGGCCCAGAGGTCAGCAGCGAAGGTTATAGCCACTGTTTTTTGGAAATCCCAAGGGATAAGCTTGATTGATTTTCTTGAAGACTACAGGATACTGAAGGCGGGGTATAAAGAAGTTTTAAGAAAACCAAAAACTGCATTGATGAAAGACCCGGAAAGTTACACCAAAGCATGCTTTTCCATCACAGCAATGCCCTTGCTCTTTCTTTCAGGCTAGCTAGAGTCAGTCGTCTCAGGGAAAATTCCCTGGAGAGCCTTGCCCATTCTCCTGACAGCCCTACTGGCCCCTCAGACTTCTGTGCCTTCCCTAAACTCAGAGATGTGGCATACATTGAAGAGCGCAAAATCCTTCTGGTGAAGAACTAAAAAGATGGAAACACTGCCTTTCGAAGTGTAGAGACCAAGAGGGAGTGTATTTCAAAACCATAGCATCACACGTTGTTTAATAAAGGTTTCTATGATTTTGTAGCAATGCTTTGAGACTTATCCTTGATATCAACAAAAGAGAATATTCTGATGCTTTTTGTTGGGGAGCCGCTGTTGTATTAGTTGCCTCTCTATTGGGGGTTAGCAGAAACCAAGACTGGATCCTGTGTGGAAGAAACTTTTGTCTCTTTAATGTAGACTGTATTCAAAAGAGACACTTGTGTACACTTTGAGATTCAGAAATGACCAGGGAGTCTTCCACTCCCGGAATGAGTCAATTTGCAGATAACTCACAAGTTCTTAAGCTAAGTAGCATTTTAATTTTTCTCCAGCCTTTTACAGAAATGTGATCATGAAAATACAGAACTCTTTTTGCAAATAATGTCAAATTTTTGAATAGTTAAATCTAATTTTTTCCAAAAAAGTTGTGAGGGGAAGTTATTGATATCAATCAATTGTACATGTTGAGGTGACAAATCTTGAGTTATATATGAATATTTACAATGCTTTTTACAAGAGCAACAAGGGGCACTAGTACTACCAAATAGTAAACTACATTACAAGCACAAAACTTAGAGACATCTGGTAGCTTGGTCCATGATAGACATACCAACTGACAGCAGCTAATAGCCCAGAAAAGGAATCTAGGTTTAGTGTCCTATGATCAGTACAGTGAACGTGCTAATGGTATCATTAGAGTGGTGAAATCAGAGGTGACTGTTTTCTTTTAGGGACCACTGATGGTGCGATGGGTCAAGCATCACACGCATGAATTGGAACCCTAGTAATGATACTGTTATGATCAGAAGCCAGTACTCTCTCTTATTTTACATTTTTCTCATCTATGCCCTCATCCAGCCTGAGCCCGATGAGATCCAGGGAAAACCTGTTGCTGGTTTGTGTCTGGCACACATCGAACTCACCGGTGGCTCTGCAGGAGCAAGACGAGGCTGTCTGCTCCCATAAAGCTTTACACTCTCAGAAAGCCTAAGGAGCAATTCTCCTCCGTCTTTGAGGGCTGCTCTGAGTTGGAATCAACTCGCTGGCAGTCGGTGGTGGGTGGATTTTTCTTTTTGTTTATTGGTTTTCCTTCCTACCTTTCCTTCCACATACATTTATTGTAAGGTGACCAGATGTCCTGCTTTTGGTGGGACAGTCCCAATTTTTTACAATTTTTCCCGCATCCCGTGGCGTTTTACAAAAGTCTCGATTTTGGAAAGAATGCACGACAAGCTAGGGTATATGGTTTTCAGCTGCCCTGTGGCTATTTCGCCAGGATATGAGTTTGATCAATGGTGTCCCACTTTTGTCCCGCTTTACCAATGTTAAAATCTGGCCACCTTACTTTATTGTCTTGTTCTAGGCATGGGAACACACTCCAAAAGCGAACTCCATGCCGTCAAGTCGATAACAACTTATAGCGGCCGTATACATAGGGTAGAATTGCCCCTCTGAGTTTCCCAGACTGGGACACTACAGGAGTAGAGAGCAGCAGGGGGTTTCAAACTACTGACCTCGTGGATCACAGGCCAACATGTGGTGACTATGCCACCAGGGCCCTTTGCCCTCATGGAGTATATTGTATGATGGAAGGACAACAAAAAAGACAAATGCCTAAGTAAACTCTATCGTGTAAGTGCTGTTATGGTTAGGTCTATCTAGTTGACTCCCACTCATAGTGACCAACCCCAGGTAGGTACAACAGAGCAAGACACAACCTGGTCCTGTATTATTTTCACAATTGTTATTATATTTGAGCTCACTGTTGCAACCGTTTTGTCAATCATGTTGTTGAGAGTCTTCTAGTTCATCAACTCTCTACCCAGCATTCATTGTCCATTGTCCAACGTTCTCATGTATTATGCGGCAATTGAAAATGGCTTGGCATTTTGAATGCAACCACTGACTAAGGAAGACCTAAGAAAAACAGACGCATTTAAATTATGGTGTTGATGAAGACTGTTGAAAATACTGTGGCCTACCAAACAACAACGATTCCAGCCTTCAATATGGATTATAGCTCAATCTAAAGAAAAGCAAAATCCTCACAACTGAACCAGGAGGTAACATCATGCTCAGCCGAGAAAAGGTTGAAGCTGGCTAGTATTGCTTAGATCTACAATCAATGCCCATGGAGGCAGCAGGCAAGAGATAAAATGAAGCATTGCATTAGAGAAATATGCAGAAGACATTGTTAAGGTGTTGAAGGATGTCACTTTGAGGCCTAAGTGCACTTGACCCAAGCCATGGTACTTTCAGTTATCTCAAATGCATGGGGAAGTTGGATATTGAATGAAGAAGACTGAGGTAGAATGGATACAATTGAATTATGCTACTTGCAAAGAATATCGAAAGTTCCACGGACTGCCAAAAGTGCAGACCAATCTGTCTTGAAAGAAGTAGGCCCGGGCGCTCCTTAGAAGAGAGGCTGGCGAGAATTCTTCTCTTAGACATGGTTTCAGGAGAGATCAGCCTGGGCAGGGCCGTCATGCTTGGTAAAGTAGAGGGGCAGCAAAAAAGAGGAAGGCGCTCAACGAGATGGCTTGACGCAGTGGCTGCGACAGCGAGCTGAAACCTACGAGCGGCTGGAGGAGGGTGCAGGGCCGGGCCATCTTTTGTTCTGTGTGCGTAGGGTCAGAACTGGCTTCATGCCACC